TAAATAAATAAATAAATAAATAAATAAATAAATAAATAAGAACTAGAGTGTAGGTCAGAGGTGTAGGTGGTGAGAGGATTTTCACTCTGTCACCAGAGACAGAGTGGGGAGCAGACAGGCAGGTCTACTGAAATACACTGCTGAGGGAAGCAGTAGGCCAGACAGAAGAGGTCTGCTATGCCATCTGGGTTAGTGCCCTGGCGGGGGATTGAACTCATGCCACAGTGGTTAGTATGATAGTGTTGAGACTTTATGCCCTATGCCATCAGGGAGTCCTAGAGCTAAAGTTTTTTAAAAAAATAAAATTAGGGCCCTCCCTGATGGCACAACACTGCAAGCTAGCCGCACTGAAGCTAGCTGCTTCAGCCGAGAGTTTGATCCCCAGCCCTAGGAGGTGATCCACATGGTGGAACAGACCTCTCCTATTTCACCCACTGCTCCCTTCAGCAGTGTACTTTGTTGATCTGCCTGTGTTGCTCCCCACTCTGTCTCTGGTGAATCCTCTCACTGCCTCTGCACCTCTGGCCTGTACTCCAGTTCTATATGCATAAATAAATAAATCTTTAAAATAATAATAATAATCAAATTGGGTAGTATATTTATCAAGTTTTACATCAGTGGATGCTACAATTAGTGGGTTTTTTTGGAGGAATGGAATGCTTAGAAAGCATCCCCACAAAATGTCTGGCAATTACAAAGGAAAAACCTCGTAGTAGGGAAAACTTTAAGATACTATCTTAAGTAATCAAGGTTAGAATCATTAGCAATAGGGGAAAATGAAGAGCAGGGTGCGAGTAATGGGCTACAGTGAAAAATGATCCCTACCAAGGATTCACAGACAGGATCTGGTCATGAGGAGACAACTGACATTCTGACTGGGGGACACTGTTCAAGTCAGTGGGCTGTAAACTTCAGAGGTTACGTTAGTGCTATGACTGTCAAGAAAACACTCAAAAATTATCATGGATTGAAAGAAACTGGGGACAAGACAAGAAGGGGCAAACAAAAGACACTGGACCTTTCCACCATGGAGGTGCTATAGGAACAGTCAGTGTGGAATGGGTTTGGGTCTGCATGAGGGAGGAATAGCAGCAACATGTATATCCTGATTTCAAAGGTTCTGTGAGGTCTTGTAAAACGTTTCCTCACTTGTGAGTGTTCCAAGGTGTTGAAGCATCGTTATTGCAGTATTCTGTTCAATGGAATGGGGGAAGGGAGGTGTTGTTTGTTCTACTTTTGTACTTTTTTAAGTTTGAAATAACTTTGACACTTAAAAAGTAATGCATGCTGAATGCATATAAAATACAGTAATTCTAGTAATCAATGTTTCACCTAATTTTATAAAAAGGCAAAATGTGGCCCTCCCTGGTGGCGCAGCGGGTTAAAGCACTGCACTGAGAAGCTAAAGCCACTTCCACATGAGTTCGATCCCCGCCTGCCCCCGGAGGAGACCACATGGCGTGGCAGACCTCTCCTGACCCGCCC